TCTTTTGCTCTTGGTGGCCGCTGCTGGGTTTGCTTTAATTATTTTTTGTTTAAATTGCAATTTGGTGTTGCTCCTGCGTGCCGAACAGAGCCCTAATTCGGGAAGAGTGGGATTTGAGGAATGCTAGTATTAGTCATTGCATTAAAATGCAGGTTTTGCTTGGCTGCCAGTTTTATCACGAAACCGTGGAAGTGGAAATATGTGGAATTTAACGTTGTTGTGTGCAGCGCTGCAGCTTGTGGGTCACAAGCACGTGGTAAAAGCAGCTTTGAAAATCGAAGTCTGAAATAGACGTGTGGTCTGTAGCTGTTGTTCTGCTGTTGGCTCTGCTGTCATTGCTGTTATTTAAGTAGCAGCTGGGGAAGGCAACCTGGCTGATATTTGCCAGGTTGGACATCTAAATATGGACTGTAGTCCATATTTAAAATAAGGAGTTGTGAGAAGGGTGTTCAGCTCCAGCCTGTCAGGCTCAGCATAGGAAAGTTGTAGAATACTGTTTATCATCATCACATTGATAGCATGAAATCTTCTGGAAATGGTTTTAATTTCTTAATCTTACTAAGAAAAAATAGGTAGCTTCTGAGATTAAGAGATCATATTTTTAGTCCTATTATGTTAAACCTGATGGAAAGATAAGGATATTGTAATTTTCTGCAGTTAAAATGCTATACAAAAGCTACTGTGTGAACTATGTGAACAAGCTTATCTCTTAAATGCAATTGCTGTTTTTTGTAGGAGAAAACAGACATAGAAGGGACCTTATTTGTGTATAAAAGGTAAGGGAGTTTGGTTTTTTTTCTTTTTCTTTCCTTAAGAAAACACGCCTCAGGTAGCTTTCATACTGGATTTACTGCATGCAGTGAACTCATAATTACTTATTTGTCTAGCTGTTAACATCTGTATACTTAATTGAAAAGAATAAACTCAGCAAATAGGTGAATAACTCTTATCAAAAACACCTGAGAGGTACTGCTGACAAATCATAAAACTTGATGAATGCTGCATATGCATCCACACAGAAAACTAGTTTGAGTTTATTTTGTTAATTCAGTAGCATTTGTTCATGTATTGAGTTTGTTAAACGCTGAGTCTTCCTTTGTCTCTTAAAATCCATAAAGTTGGTTGTGAAAACAATACAGATGACAAATAATCTGTCCTAATTTAATTTCTGCCATTTTGGGACAAATGGATGAATTTGCCTAAAAGCTGGAGCTCTGCTAGTGTATAGTTTTGTGGGCTACTTGATTTCCTCATTAAACTGTGAAAGAAATTTCCAATTATATGGGATGGGGGAAAGGACTCGGAGGGGAGACCCACCACGTAAAACCAATCATGGATTTAAGGTTTAAATGACAGGCAAATCGAAAATCTAACAATGATATAACACTCTGTTGAATGTAAAATATGAATAATGCAGACTTAACCCATTCTGAAACAGACTGTCATAGACCAGGTCATTACAGTATTTTATCCTGGCACTGTGAAAGGATACTAGCAACTGGTTTCTGTCTCCTTTTCCTTAGCTCCAAGCTTGGAAATACTTTGTGTAAAAAAGCCAACCAAACTAGAAATAAAAAAAACTAAGCAAGAAGTTTCTTTGTGACTAGCTGATTATTCCAAGCAAGTTCAGTTAGGCACATTAAAAGACTAACCCGTGATCGTAGAATCACAGAATGGTTTGGTTTGGAAGGGACCTTAAAGATCATCTAGTTCCAACGCCCCTGCCGTAGGTAAGGATGGTCAGGATTGTTTGCTGCTCCTTAGAAGCTCTTGACAGATTTTACTGTTGATTGCTTGGTAGAGGTGGCCGCATTATTGCAGAAATCTTACTAGATAATGATAATCTGGCTTTTACCCTGCCTTCATCATCCTACTGTGTTGATTATATGACTGCTTACAGGCACAGTTGAGTACGCTGACATGACATTCGTACAGCAAGAGAGAACAGATCTAAAGCTATGTTAAACTTTGCAGTGCTTGCTTGCTTTTTCCACCTGATGTCTAGCAAAAATATAGATAATAAAAATTGTTTCACTAAGCAATAAAATTCTGAGTAATTTAATATCTACTTTGAGGACACTAGGTTAAGTCTATATTTTAAGAGTCTGCTTTTTAGGAAGAAATTACTGCGTCTGATTCTTCTCTAAGTGGATTTCATGTTATTTAAGCTAACAGCTTTTTTTGTTGTCATACCTGTTGACAGTAAGGTAAATTTTGCTGCCTAGATGGATTATTTTTTCTCCTCTAATAAAGGATTCTAAAATGCCTCAAAACTATCTTATGTGAAGTATTGGATACACTTGGCATTTTGCCCTAGTTTTTTTAATAGATTTTTTTTTTGAGGCATATCTTTGATTCACTGGTTTAGTGGTGTAGAACTGTAATGTTAATCCTAATCCTGCTTTGAGGTAAGTATAGTTTTAAATTGAGATTAGTTGGCATGCCAAGAAATGGCATAGAAGAACAACTATTAGTGCTTCAGGACTGCTAAAGCTTTAGCTAATAAAGTGATGGAGACTGAAAGATTAATTCGTAACTCTGTTTCAGAAAGTCGTATACATTGGTCAAGGTATTAACCCTTGTTGTTATTTTAATTGAAACAATAGGTCAGCTTCTCCTTATCACGGTTTTACGATAGTGAATCGACTGAACATGCACAACCTGGTTGAACCAGTAAATAAAGATTTGGAGTTTCAGCTCCATGAACCTTTTCTTCTCTACAGAAATGCTAGCTGTGAGTATAACTTTCTTTAATCCTTATAAACTTCATGTTCTGTTTTATAACCTGGGCCACTTCTGGTTACTGTGATGTCTGTTTCAAGTATAATGTAGTGGGGCAGGTTCCAGGGAAATTTTTGAGGATGTTTTCTGTCTGCAGTGCTAGATTTACTTAAATAGCCCTGATATTACATTATGATGGCCACCTGCTTTCAGTAAAAAGAGGATATACTAACAAAGTTCAATATTGCTATGTTCTTTTTAGTTAATGAGCTGATAAGTTTAATCTAAACATATACACAGTGCTATAGCCATTAATAAAAGAATATGAAAGAATAGTGAAGATTGATAGATTTTTGGAAGTGTTTAACACCAAGAACAGTTCTAAGAGCTGCTTCTTTAGGTAAAAAAATTAAATATTGACTAGTAGCTGCTTGAAGAAGTTCAGAAAATTGCTTGGCTCTAGGTTGAAGGTTTCTTTTTCCACAACAGGTTTTGGACTCAGGAGATAGATGTCTATACTAAATTTCCTGGAGTCCAGACTCCAGCAAGTCTGGGTGTTGGGATAGTCATTATACAGATGAGCAGTAAAATAGTAGTCAGTATCTTCGTGCTGCTTTTTGAATTCTAGTAGTGTTTCGGGTCATCATCGAGCTTCAGAGTCTGTGTGCTGTGTTCCAGTTAGATACATGATAAAAATCCTATTACTCCAAAGAGCTCAAAGTATAAATTATGTAGCCCTTAAAGAGAGGAGGAGGGAGTATATATGTATATGAAATTCACATTACTTAAGTAGATAAATAAAAGGCACCCCACAATGCAGAGGGTCCTCCTGATACAGAGGTTATCATTCCATGTCCTCTCTTCTAGGCAAAGTTCTTGAAACTGGTTTGCTACTGTCTAGTGACAGATTCCTGTTACTGAATTACTCAGAGAACCTGTGTGCTGTCTGCATACAGTACATGCTCAACGCCATGTTGTCTTCCTATTAGAACGCCCCCTTGAATTACAGATAAGAACACTGCTTCGGCTATGCTTCAGTGTACCTAAAAGAATAGTCAAATGCTAATCCCTTCCTGTTTTCCCTTTGGAAAGCCTCTGGGATCTGTGGGGAGTAGGATGGAATCTGTTATGGTGAGAAAGACCAGCTTAACATAGGTAGTCTCTGCTGTTTAAGAGTCTTAGCAATCCTTCTTCTGTAAGTGTCATTGAAAGGAACAAGGCAAAACTTGCCAGTAAGTGGAGAAGTCTAGAAGACGAGGGAAGTAAATGACTGGCAAGAAATTGGGAGGGGAGGAAAAGTATTGCCTTAAGTTGGATGCTTAAGCAAATCACTTGGTTTGGAAGGAAGAAGAGCTGTAGGTAATGGTGGTAGGGGTGGGATGGCTGATGACATGGCAGTAGAGGAAAAAATTGCAATTATAAGAGTGGTGACATAGGGGAAGCAGGAAGCTGATTCATTTGTTGGAACTGCTGGTGGCATCAGGAAGCAGGAGCTGCTGTGGAATTACCATGGTGTATTCTAGTGGGGGTGACTAGAGGAAGCAATCAGAGAAGGTAGACTGTATGAGTTCATTAGAAACTCCTAAAGCTAATTTTATACCTTTATCTCCTTGGTTAAAAGCTCTCCTTTTTCCTATGGAACACTATTGTTTAAGATCTGTGGGAGGCTCGTGGGAGGTAGGATAGGGATGACATAGAAAAGTACGAGGAAGGGAAAGATTCATTCAAAGGTGAGCAAGGAAAGTATTATAGGCTGAATATGGGAAATAATTGTGTTTTGAAGTAATCAAGAGTATCTTTTTTTTTTTCCTCCTTATCTTTCTGACTGTCGTTTTAAAAGACTTTGTTTGGAAACTATCCTTTATTTTGTCACCCTGTTCTGTCTCCTGGAAGAGGGTGGTAACATGTCCAGAAACAGTCTACCTTTACCGCAAATTGAAAATGGTCAGTGTAGTTAGTATGTCATTAGTTATTTCCCTGAGTGCCACGAATAAGCAGCAGATCTTTTTATCTGTTCTGCTAGCATTTGTTTTGTTCAAATACAAGCTTAAAAGTGTAGAAAACAGCATCTAAGCTTTTTATTCCTTACAATTTCAGCACCACTAACTCCTTTACATTTTGTATTTAGTTGCTGTGTTTTGGATTTTCTTCCTTTAAGGCAGTTTCCCAGTTCTATCCCCTGAATTAGTTAGAAAAGAATTAATTTTATGATTGAAACATTGTGGTAAATCTGCTTGCCTCTATCTGCCTAGTATTGCAAAACTTAAAACCAAACAAACAAAAAAAACCCCACACAAAACAAAAAAAAAACCCTTCAGGATTGATTTGGATTTGCAGACCAATTTCAACATGTATATGTTTTATTTGTATAGGTAGATTAGGGTGTTCTTGTCCTAAGTTCTTTTCATGCAGAAGGGTGTCCACATCTGCTCAGCTGCCTGCTGGCATGAAAAAACTTTGCAGTTTTGGTACTAATTTAAATAGGAGTTTTAAGCCAATGGTTAATGTAATGTGATTTATCTCTAATGGCTTAACATGAAGTTCTTCTGAGATGACTGAAAGAGGATGGACTGCTAGGTTGTGCAAGGAAAAACTACCTCTTTCTTACACGGAGTGTTGGCAACAGTCCTGTTCCTTGTAGAGTGGTGGATTTTTCTGTATCCTGCTTGAGGAAATCTGCTGTGATCCTTAGAAACTCCTAAAGAGCAAGTTGTCCTGCTGAGACTGCTGAATGATTGAACTGATGATTCTGTTTCCTTAGCATACAGGTAGGGAATGGTTCAGACTACCTGATTAAAAACCTAAAATCATGTTTATTAATACTGCTGTTTGGCAGAGACAAACATATTTTGTGCCTGTATCTTTAGGTTGTAACAGGATGAATGACAAATCATCGTTTACACTTCCCCAGGGCATGGCAGAAATAGTAGAAAATGATCGAAGCAAAATTATGCCACCACATATCTGGGGAAGGTTCCATCTTAACAATCTTTACAACTGAATACAATACTATTGTATTATAAACTTCACGTTCTCACTTTGTTCTGGGATTCTGTCTTGATTTAAGAAGATAATAAAGGCAAAGTCTGTTATGTTTACCAGATCAGACTTCTGGCATATCTGTTGTGAATAGTGAGAGCTGTTCTGAGTGTATCAAGTGATGTACTCCAGTCTATGCAGAGCCACTAACGTTTATACTGCTTGCAAAGTTTCTTGTATATAAACATTTTTGCTTGGTTGGAGCAAAATAATAATTGGTTGGAGCTATAATAATTATTTGCCTGTCATCCTAGATGATAATATTTTTGGTGAGTCTTACCATTCTTTTAGAGTTTTACTTGTTCAAATCCTTATTTTTAATATACAGTGGAATTTTTAGTTTGCTGCATATCAGAACTTACTTTTGTTGAGCTGAAGACATGAGATCCTTTATCTAATTGCACAAAGGCTTTTTCGTACTCTTAGAACAAAACTAAGTAATTGCCATTTTATTCTCACAGGAAAGGAGGGCCTGACTTATCTTTCATAGTTGTTGGGAAGGGGTGTGGCATCCAATTATTATTACCCAGCTGGCTTGAATTGAAACTGAATGTAATTAACTAATTAACTAAGGTTGTGAACCTGCCTACAAAAGGTGGGCCATTTCCTCCTGTCTGTGGAAGATGCAATGACATCCTTGGAGCTGCAGCCCAGGCTGGTGAGCAACAGAGGGGTTTTCCTCATTTTTGCAGGATGAGATATGAAGGAGTCTCATGGGTGTCCTGGAAGGAGAATAGACCAAGTGATACAGTACCTTTCTTAGATTTACCTTTTGATGTGTTCACTGAGTGAAATGAGAGATGTTTGGGTCAATTTGTTATTTGTTACTCCAGTTAGAAGTAATACATGTAGAGTCTTTTCCCTCCCTGAAAATAATACCTTTTTAACGTTTTGGCTGTTAATGGAGAAGTCTTTCCTAACTCTGGACTTTTTTCTTGAAATTATTCTGGCTACATAATACGGTTCAAGCCTCAAAAGAATACTTAAACCCAAAATTTTGAGAAAGACCGTGTCTACTTTAGAAGTTGTACATAATGCTGCCTGAAAACTTACACCATTTTTTCATTGTTAGAATTAAAGAAAGCAACTGTCTCCAAATGTGAACAAATCAAGTGATTAAGTCAAGCAATTTCTTTTTATTTTGGTAATGTAACATATTTTTAATTTCGAATGCCTCTCAAAAGGTAGAAATTGTTACATTATACTTCATACTTAATGTGCTATTTACTTTTGCTTAATCTGGAATGTGTTGCCAGGTACATCTGATCTTTGTCTAACTTTCCCTCTGGATGCATGCGCATTCTTTGGAGTATTCAGAGTATTTGTTCATGAAGCACTGAATCCCAATGACCCGTTTGTTTTTTTTAATGAACCTAACCTTGTTTCCTCTATTTTGTGAAAAGTATGTTAAACTCTGTTTAAAAACATGCTTACAGTTCTGCTGGTAACAATAATAATAGTCTAATCAGAAAGTTTAGTACTTTCTTTCAGTCTGTAATGTGAGAATTTGGAGTTGGTAGTTCACTTAATAACGAAGGAAAATTAGTCCAAGTTTTAAACAATGGCCAACTTACCTCTTAAAGTCTGCAGGAAGTATTCTTCTTTCTCGTTTATAACTTTCCCTCTGTATTGGTGGTGTTGGTCGTGATTAAAAGGCTTTTTAATCCAGGCCAGTTCACTTGAGAGGTCAGGTGGATTGATTTCCATGGTTCTGGAAAGACAGATGCTAAGCATAAAACTTGGATATTAAAATAAATGGTCCTCGTTTGGTGTGGGTTTTTTGGTTTTGGGTGGGTTTTTTTTTTCCTTGGTTGCTTTTTATTCCTGTCCAAGGGTAAGAGTAAAATGAAGATAATGGATTTTGGAGAGGTTTATAGGTTTAAGCAGAAATCTCAGTTACAAAGTGCTGTTGTCTTCTGGGCTTGCTGTATTATCGTTAATTAAACAAACTTGTCTTCAGAACAGCAAAAGCAAAATGAGTTGCATGATTTCAAATGGCTTTTAAAATTCTGTCAAAGAGCTCCTGACTGGTTTCAAAACAGCGTCTTTACTGGTAAGGAAAGTCTCTCATTATCTCCTCTGTTCCCGGCTGGCAATGCATTAAGTGTAATGTATCTCTGTGATTGCCAAAGCTGAATGGCTCTCCAGCAAGCGCATTAACCCAGTGGTTTAGTCTGAGATAAGAAAGGAGCAGGTTCTTGATACCTTTGTAGCTGAAGAGCGATGCAAGCTAGGGGGAGGGGAGGAACCAATGAAAGCTGTTAAGAAGTTCTAAAAATAATTTGTTTGACCTGAAAGACGGCACCCTAACTGGAAGGGGTTTTCCGCTCTGGTTCAGTGTTGCAAAGTAGTAACCCTTTTGTTCCACACTATATTTCACCAGATGGCAGTTTGTTAAAGCGTTCCTGATCTTGGATGCTGTTTACCACCTGCTGAACTCCAGTGCAACTGCTTGTGGGATTGTGCTGTGAACTATTGGTGAAATTGCCTAAGATATTCAAAACAATAAGAAAGGGAAGGACTTTTTTAATGAATTCTGATTATTTAAGTCTATGTGGCAGGCCAATATTTAAATTGAGGAAAATGAGTAGTGAATGAGGAATCTCAGTGAAGATGTTAGAGCACAGTGACTGAGGAGAGGTGGCTTTTCAGCTAACCTTGCTACTGGTCGAAGTACAAGCTTTGAACAAGTTTGCTTTCTGTGCTTATTGCTTTATGCCTTAAACTCTGCTTGAAGTGTAAAATGATGCATATACCATATGCAAATGATGCATATATGAGCTTTCTTCTTGGGTATGAGATCAGGTGAAGTTAATTTCCATGATTGATTTCAAAATACAAGTCCTTTCTTTTCAGAGTTTGAAAGGCTACTGACCCCCACTTCCAGTTGTTCCTCTTGTATAGCAACATCTAAATTGGAACTGTAAAATTAAACTTTTCTCTGTTTTCTGTCAACTGTTCCAGCTAGTTAAGGTAACTTTTAAACAGATCATCATTGTGAATGAGATGACGCTATATCTGCATAAATGGCTAAATTGCCTAAGGCAAGAGAGCGTCTGGAATCTCTGAAACTGGCAGTGCTGATGAGTCCCATGTGCACTTCTTCTGGCATAGCATTTTCAGGCTACAGTTTCATGAACATTTTAATAGTTTTGCCTTATAACAGCAAAGTTGTAGGAATGTAAGGATGGTGACGCTGCTTCTTTCTGCTTGTTTAAAATGAAAGCTGAAGTGAAACTATAGCTTTGGGATGCAGCGTGAATGAATGCAAGAATGAGGCCTCTGTCTCACTGTGGCACTTTGCTATCCCCACTCTTAATTCAGATCTACTAACTGGGCGGCGTTGGAACAGTAAGCTGATTGTCCCGTGAAGCAATGGCAGCACACTGTAGAAGAGACCAAGACTTTCCTTCTGGTGTCATTCAGCTGTTAGACTTGAGCAGGAAGACTTCTGTAATGCTTTTGTTTTCTCAAAATCTCTGTTTCCCGTAGCAATTTCAATCATGATTGATCTAGTCAAGTTTGGAGAGAAGTTGAGTATTATGTGTTTAGATAAATATTTGTGGGTCAGTGTTTCTAATAAAAATGGCGTATGTCAGAGAAGAATGTAGCTGAAGCTAACTGATAACTTCTTTTAGTTTTATTGAGTCTGATTTATCTTTGATATGGGTTACTGTCATGGTTTAACCTTGCTGGCAACCAAACATAACTCAGCCACTTGCTCACTCTCCCTTGCCCCTGGGGAATGGGAGAGAGAATCGAAGGGGGAAAAGGAGGGAGACTCATGAGTTGAGATGAGAACAATTTAATAATTGAAATAATATTTAAAATAATAATGATAAAATAATAAAAATTATTATAATAGCATATACAAATGAGTGATACACAGTGTAATTGCTCACCACCAGCTGACTAACACTGGATCCAGCCCCGGCTAGTGATCCTGAAGAAGAGACATCCTGAAACCATAATCCTGGAAGACATCCCCCTCATCCATGTATACTGAGCATGATGTTGCATGATATGGAATATTCCTTTGGCCAATTTGGGCCTCAATCTTAAGCCTAAAATCAAATCCTAAATTAGGAGTTGTGGGTCTGTTGCTCTGGCTGTGTTCCCTCCCAGCTTGTTGTGCACCTGCATGCTAGCAAAACATGGGATGTTAAAATCAAGTCCTTGATGTCTTAGCAACAACTATAAACATCAAAATGTTATCAACATTCTTCTTGTACCAAATCTCATACTAAATCAAAACCACAGTTCTGTTCTAGCTGCTAAGAAGAAAGCTAGCTCTATCCCAGCCGAAACCAGGACAGTTACTCATGACTTCATGTGTGTCAAAACGTATCGTGAATCCAGCTGAAGGGTGTTGCTGCTGATGATTAAAAGCTACTTTTACTTGATTACTAAAGATGCTGCCCAGCATTCAGTGTAGAAAAGTTGGATGGAAAGCATTAAACTAGACGGAAAAATGAGTCAATTTAATGGCTTCTGTTGGATAAACTCTTAAAAGAGTTGCAGTAGAAAGGGATGCCATTAAACATGAACATTCAGCTAATGTTTATGCTAGGTGTAGTAAAAAGATCACAGATTTGAAAAGAACTGGTAAGTACCAACTCTGATTTTAATAAAGGATGTTCATAGCTAGAGTTGCACGCATGTAAGAAATAGATCAAATATACGAATGCAGTTGGGATGCACATACATACTTCTGGGGCAAAGGGAGCTGAGCTGATAGTACAGATGAGTCCTCTTTTGAAAAGAGGAAGTTTAACATTCCAGCCTGTTGGACTATATCTAAGTTAATGCCCAAGTTTACTTATTCATAATCTGCTTTACATCTTTGTAATGCTGTTAATGTTTTGCAGTGACTCCCTATGATTGCTTGCCAGTAGTACAAAGTGGAAAAAAGCCTGATAATCTGTACACCAAACTGAGATTTGGATCTACTTCTGATCTTGTGTAGGCCTGTTACTGGCAGAATTGAGTGTGACTTTTATCATTTGTCCCATTAAGATATCATTATGGGTTCCTTATCTTCATTTCTTCAGCAAGTATGCTTTTGAAGAAGCTTTATTCTCTTGGCAGTTTGTCTGATAATGAAGTCAGGGAAGGGAAAGGGCTTTTCTGCAGTGTTTAAAACATGCTACATGACTAAAGAAGTAGTTCAAACTGGAAATATTTTCAGGTTTATATGTAGTAGACAATCCAGTTGTATTAAACTGTAAATATTAATAAATATTTCGTAAGCATTGGCTACATGAATGAGATGGGTTTTTTATTGGCTTACATCTCTTGCAAGAAGAAAGTTCCTTAAATTGTGCTGTATTGATTTGTTTGTGACTTGAAAAGCTTTGTTGTCTATTACTTAAGCTGTAACTTCTGAAGAAACAAGCACATAGTTGTTATTTAATAAAATAAAAGAAGAAGCAAAGTAGAACTTCAGTTTGTCTTAGGATATTGTTATAGAAATGGGGCATGGGCATGGCTTTTCAAGGGTTTTGGTCCAACACAGTAAGTCTAGGAGATAACGAAGGTCTAGGAAAACGTTTTAGTTAATAACTGCCCTCTTTGCCATGGCTTGAAATAATTTTGGTTTGGCTTTGATTGAGTTTTTTGAGTGTTTTGAGGAGTAAGAAAAAAGTTGAGGGCAGGAGGATACGACTTTGAAATAAAAATCTATGTCTGGCTGGAAAAGGTTGTCTATTTTTACACGTTCCTTTCCTTCACTTTTTATAATCAGTTAGTGACTTCGACTTCATAAGAACATTTGCTTGAACTGCAGTATAAAGATGGCTTTTAAAAGGCTAAAAGTGTCTTTTCAGAAATGAAAATATTTTAATGGTAACATACGTAAAGTGTCCAATTGCCTTTGATGTACTTGCATGCTGTGCATTAACAAACTTCATAGGTGAATGAAGGTTTAAAATAACCTGCTTTGTGGGCTGGATTAAATACAGTTCAGAAACAAGTTCTGCAGATCTGTTGTGCTGGCACAGCTGTGGGGACGGTGAGGACACGAGTATGCGTGGGTAAAAATGACCTCTTTGAAGCAGAATTGCTGATGAAGAAATGGTACATGGCACTACTGGCGAAGCTTCTCCCTCTGATGGAGTATTTCTCAGCTCAGTGATCAAGGTCTAACTCTGTCAACTTTCAGTGGAATTTTGCTTTGAAAGCCAGAATGTGGCTTAGTGTCTTCCTGAGCTGGAACCCTTTGTCCCTGATACTTTCGAAGAGTAGGGTTCAGTATGAATCTAGTTTTAAGCTGCTCCGTGAATGCAACAGTATGGTTGGAGCTTTAGTACCCCTTCCTTCCTATGCAGAAACTTCTTTTCATAAAAGAATTTGGAGAGGGAACCTTCCAGAGAGTCTCTGACGGAACTGTAATACTGTAGCTCAAACTTTGTTTTTTGTTGAGCTTCAAAAATGGAAAAACTTAAAAATGAGTGTTCAAAAAATATGAAGATTCTTTAGCTTATTTTAAGTGGTAAAAACGATCATTCAAAACAGAAGGTTGCAACTGTAGTGGGAAGGCATCTGGTAGTTAAAATGTCATTTTCCTGCCACTTTTGTTTACAAACAGTATCAACATTTCGTAGTTCTTGAATTTAATCTGACTGACCTTGTATTTGTGTTTGCACATGTGCTATTTCTGATTACTTTATAAATGGTACTTGGTCACACACAGAATATTGGAGTGGAAATTGATGGTAATTCATATGTTGCTGATGTAATGGGCTGCTGGGTTTTTGCCTTTTTTCCTATTGATTTGTTTTCTGTTTTTTTTTAAAAAAAACCTTTGTCTTACATTTTCATGGTTTTTTTCTTATTTTCAAGTGTCAATTTATAGTATCTGGTTTTACGACAAGAATGACTGTCATCGGATAGCAAAACTCATGGCCAAGTAAGTACTGTGGTCTTACTATTCTGTAATTCTTTTATGCAATATGGAAAAAGATGTAACCTATTGAACATGTTTTTTTCTTCACTTTCCTTAAATAGAAAAATACAATGTTCTTGCTAGTACCAATCTTATAGTAATCAAAACGTGGCTGTAGGTTAGGTCTTGTTGGTTTCTTTTGTGGGGTTTTTTGTTTGTTTTTTTAAAAACATCTACAACAATAAAACTTTCAGTTAAGTGGTAAAAAAATCAGTTTAAGTATTAGTTGGCATTCTCCAAAGAAAGCAAGTACGAACACTGTTTATTTTACGCTTTATTTTGTGTAGGGATGCTGGCAAAAGTGCTCTGATACAGAAAGTATAATCCAGTAAATGATGGCTATGGATTTTTTTGGTTGGTTTAGCAGTTTGTTTGGTGGTGGGCTGATTCTTGGTTTTTGGGGTTTTTTTAAAGGCTTAGTTATTTTTCCTGACTGAAGTGAAAAGACTGGAGAATAGTGAGAGAAGTAGGTAGAATCTTATAGAATTAAAGTAAAGTTAGGAGAGCGAGCAAAACTATGAAATAATAGGAGCTTATTGCTGACTTCTGGATTGTTGTTTAAGTCTGATTATTTTTTTTTCTTTCTTCCCCCACCCTCCTTTGGAGATGAAGTTGGTTTACAAAGCCAACATGTCACTTGCTCTTATTTTGTAGTTCCCAGGGCTCCTAGAGATGTCATGGCAGCAGGAGAATTTCTGAAGTGATCTCAATTTAAAGAAACCTTAAAAGACTGTGGTTGCAATAACATGGTTTTGTTATTTTTAAGCTGCTGTCACTGTAGCAGTGCAGTTAGTGTATCTGTGCTGTAGATGGTTGAGCTGCCACGGTGAAGGAGGGCTTCAGACTAGAGTGCAGAAGTTTGAGTGAACAACAGAGGTCAAAGAAGGCTGCAACTGGTTGAGTTGGCAATGTGGCATAAAGTCTTTAAAACACGTTGTGATTGGAGAGTGTGCCTGCACCTCTCTGTTCCTTCAGGTGAGGTGCCTTGCAAGTTAAGCCAAGACTTTTTTACTAATAGAAAAGAATGAGATTTAACTTGAGCAAATCTTCAATGTCCTTATGAAAGGAAGGAGCTTGAATTGCGTGACGGGGCGGTTGCACTAGCAAAATTGCAAAATTCAGGTGTTCTGCACAGGATATCTTCTCATCTCATGTTCTCTGCTTTGCTCTTCACTATCACACTCTGCGTTCCTGAACTTACTTTTCTATTGCATGCCTTAATCAGAGTGTTTTGTCTTGCAAGTCAGGACATCTTGAAGATTGGCAAAATTGAATTATATGGAAACTAGTCATAGTGTAGACATTTTAAGCTGAATTCGAATTTCTTGATTTGGGTTTTTTGCTTTGGGTTGTTTTGGCTTTTCCCTGCATAAGCAACATAAGACAACACAAATGGCAGACTTTGATGTCAAGATCTCGTTCTAAATTCTTACTGTTCTTTTCTCTTATCCTGATAACCTATGCAGTTCCCATTTCCTGTTTTTTTATATATTGTTTTCCTTCCCAGCCATGTTGGACTTTTTGCTATTATTTTACTAGTCCAAATATAAGGAGTAATTATAAGGGTTAATGGAAAACAATTGTGTGAAATTGACTCTCAGAAATTGTTACCAAAACAAATTACAAAATATCTATTACCTGTCTTTATAAACAGAGCATCAGAAAGGCATGGCTTTGTTCTTTTAATGCACCTTTTAACTTAAAACCGTGATTAATGTTTGAAGTGGGAGAGAGAGCTGAACCCTTCAGACTCTACCGTGTTCTTGTTGTCACGCACAGCTGCACTGCAGATCTAAGTGTCATGTAGCAAAACTTGAGTTCGTTTGATATTAAACTAATCTAGTGACTACAGCACAAATCATGGATACAGATACATCAGGGATCTTCAGTATAATCAGGTGATAGACGAGTCTAGCTGTGGCTCAGCAGTCCATAAAGCGCATCTACCCTTTTTGCTGAATTCTGTAATATTGTGGGAATAACTGTAACCGTGCAGGTTCATTTAAAGTCAGTCTGGGAATAATCTAAGCTTTATTGTCATCTTTGTAAGCTAGTAGCCAGCCTTTTCTTGGGTCCCTGATTCCTGTAGTGCAGCTTTACTAACACACAGAGGCAGAAGTACCAAAGTTGACATTATTGCTTCACCCCTGTTTATGCACCTTAGAAAGTTTCTGAGATTACAAATTATTTTGGAAGGTCGAAAAGCTGAAACGTATTTTTTAAATGTTCGAATTTTTTAATGTAGGTGTTGGAATAATTGTGGATTAAAGGTATCTTTGAAACTGAAATTAGAGTTAATGCATCAAGCAGACGTTGGGGAACATGTATTGAGCTTTATCACTTCAAACTTATGCAAGTGAATCTAGAGAAATCAAATGTGTATGTGGAAAGATTTATTGATTTGATATTGACAGAATACAGACAGTTAAATTTTGCTGAGCGAGCTAGGACCTTACTTCAGTATGATTTTTTCATCTTTGCTGCCATTAACTTGGTCAATAAAGGCCTAAGTGATCTTTGCTAGCCTAAGTGCTGCTGGTAATAAGTCTTTCATTCTCTGAGTGCTTTTTTTTTCATAAGGTGTTTCTTCATTGTTAGATTATGGAATATCTGAATACTTCTAGTTCTTCTTTCCTTTAAAATTGTGTATTGGTTTGGGGGTGACAAAAGTATTGACAGAAGCCATTTCTATACTGAGAAAGGTATTTAGTGTAAATGCGTTTACTTGTATTTGTTGAAAAAGTACTGTAGAATGAAATCACACTTCACTTGGTACTACAGGCCTTACAGCTTCTGAGTATCTAAAGATGCATATTAGAGAAAATGAAATGAAGGCATTCTAGTTGCCCATTACTGTAGGATGATGGAAAAGCTGCACGTCTGAGGCTGTTATTACAAACTTAATGAAAAGTGGATTTAGACTATTTTGCTGGCTATCTGTTTCCACAAACATCAAACTTTCTCTCACTCAAAATGAGTAGAAAGCAGTCAGAAGAGAAGTAAAAATGCTGATGCTTCTGTGTGCTTCTCTGTAAGAAGGAGGCTGAAACTGCAGGACTTATTTCATCTTGGGATTAAAGATGTATATAGGAAAACTTAAAATATATGCTTTAATTTAAAAAAAAATTAAACAGATCTTGGAGAAGGAAAGCTGTATTTCAGTGCATGGTAGCAGGCTCCATCAGGCTTAGTTGAGTACGCTTTGGAATAAATATTTATCTTGTCTTCCAAGAGTAATAGTTTTGTTCCACAGTTTTTTTGTCTTTGTCTTGGGTGGAAATTTGGATTGGCACCCTTTTGTTTAGGTGCTTTTTTTTAATCACTGATAGGAGAGAGTACTGCCTTTATAGTACCTCAGAGCTTCAAAAGCATAACCATAAAAGGTTTCGAGGAGATTTGCATTCTCTTTCCTACTCTTTGACTTGACCTCACTGAGCCAGACTGAGTTAACAAGATTGCAGGCCGTCCGTTTTTGCTTTGGTGGCTTATCTTTCAAAAGAAAAGTAAATTAGTGTTCGTAGGCTTTGTGATCACAGACCTCACTTCTCACTTTCTCTCTGTCTCTCCCTGCCGCCTCCTTCTGTGAGGTAGTGCCAGGTATATTTTCAATGCTACAGCCGCAGATATTCCTTAATAAACTTGTCACAGCAGCTACTGTGTCCCCAAAGGAATGTGTACCTCTTCCACTATCTGATATAATGGAAAGAAACAGCAGGCCTTACTTAAAAAAGATTTAATCCTGGATTGCATACAGAGCATGCTCAGTGTACGGATTTGCATGAGTTGACTTTTTTCCCCCAGCAAAGAGATTCAATTTACGGAACTTTTTTAAAAAGAATTCTAGAATTTTCTGAAATGAAAAGCAGTAGGACAGCAACTAGGGTTTTTCAGATCTTTGTGAAACTATTGCATTCTGACATGTAAATTTGCAGGATTTTTTATTTTTAGGTTAGTTTATAGGCTTGTTTTACCCTGTTTCAACAGTCAAACCCAAACTGGCTTCTGACATAAGACAGCAAGCTGGAAGTGTGAGAGTATCTCAGTTTTGGGAGTACATTGTTTAAACTTTACCCTAGCACCACTATTTGAGTGTAACCTGCACGAGACAGAAGATGGAAGAAGAGCTATTAGACAGTTATCTGCATGAGAAGATGATAACTTTTTATTCTTTAAAAAAAAAGTAAACTTTAAAAAGGTAGCAACACTTCATAATGGATAGCAGGAAAATGTGAAATGTTTTTCAGAAATCTTTGTGAAACATTTCTGTGAAATGGATGTACTCTTTGAAGATGTTTTGGTATGAGACCAATTAGTACTATTTTAATAGGAAGATGTTTTGTTGAAACCTTCTGGACCACCTAGTCAAGAGCAGAAGGAGGGTCTCAAGACGGAAGCCTTTGCTTCTGCCTATCAGGCAGCACATGGCATGACTTCAGGTGTCCAGAATTTTCCCTTTAACTGAAGTATTTATTTTTTTTTTTCTAACACAATTATGCTGGCACTTAAAGTCTCGGCATAGTATTCTGGTTCTTCTACCTTGCCCTTTCTCATCACTAGTTTCAGAGTTGAGTTTAGACAAGTCCTAAGTTGGAACTGTATGACCATGTGGGGTGCTAGAAGAAAATGTTCTCTCAGCACATCACCATAGAAACATTTGCACAGTATTGAGCTTCTTCATCCAAACGAGCACATGCTGTGGTTCTTAGAAATTGTCAGACAGAGTGTAGATTGGCCTCCCTGTTCCGAGTTACGTTTGCAGGTGAATGCTTGCTTACAGAGAAGGCTGTACTAATAATGAGAAGGTGGTTAAATAAGCAGCCTGTATGACTAAAAATTTCAAAGTACTTTTGAAAGCAACATTGTTAAAAGCCAAATCTAACCCTTCTTCAAATAAATGCAGCTAAACTCTAGTGAAGAGGCTTAGTTGCTAGAAAACTGGGAAGAAACTTCCAAGACCTGAACTATTTTTTTTTTCCTCAGAAATAGCGACGTAGAGGTGCATATAAATGTCAAATTACTCTACAGTCTATAAAATTTAGAGTTACTCCTGCATCCTAACTGACCAAAAGAAACTGGAGGCTGGAATGATTGACGCTTTCTGGGATTGTTATTATGGCACCTCTTGGCTTCTCCATCAGCCAGCAGTTCCACAGCATGAGAGTTCTCAAGAGACATGCCAGCTCCAGAGCTCTGCCCTGTTTACAGTGCTTGTTTTTTCTTAACATATTTGATTAATGCAGGCTTAAAAAAGAAGGGATTACAGGCTGGTGTGTGTTTATTTCAAGAGGATAAGCTTTAGCGCGTTGCACAGCCATGTATATCTTGCGAACTGCATATGGATTAGGAGTAGAAGTATATGCTGCCCTTACTTTTATTAATGAAATGTACCAGATACTCATCGTCGTCTTGCATATCATGAGTGTCTTTTAAATTGAAGTTTTTTTTGAATCTTGAGGCAAGTAGAGGTGGAGTAGAAGTGGTGAATGAACCGTAGGCACTAAAGGCCAGAGGGAAAGAAGTGTTGTAGACCTGCAGGTTATGGGAATGACTACAGGGCAGCTAGAGAAGAAAATGGTTTGCGCCTCTTTGCAGAGCCTTAAGTGGGAGAGTAAGGAGTAACTTGCTCTCAGCCTCCTTGCAGACTGACTCCAGAGACATCTGGTGTGAGCCAGCTCTTATTTTCCACTGTCTTTGTTTTGTTGTATCATGGTAGGCCTCATCCTAAATTAGAAATGTTTTGTAATTGATGTTGTTGAATAACACGACTTGATTTGGCTAAATATGGAAAAAATGCACGTTAGGAAGTAAAGAGTAAAAAATGTAATTTACTGTCTATGGTATAATACATGTGCTCTTTGTATAACGCATACTTGAATGTCCACGTATTTTATTGTAAGAACGTCTAAATATGACAGCTTTACAGAAGTGGTGTTTATTGTAGGCAAACTTTGTGAGAGACAAACCAGTGCTGTCTGGATTGGAGATAAATCGTACGGAGCGTTTGACAGTTTGACTTGTATAAACCTTGTAGCAAACGAAAACTTGTGTAACTTTGGTCAACTGTGTTAGGTTTTTATTCAGGCAGAACGAATTGTGCTAATACACTGGGAGTATGCTTTTCTTTACTGCTTTTTGCAAGATGTTAGCTCTAGATAAAATTTTAAAAACCTGTTTCTCTTTTCCTGTTACAGAGTGGTAGAACAAGAAACTCAGAGATCGCAGCAAGTTGCCCAGGACAGAAAAAGTCCCAGCAGAACCAATGGCTGCAATGAAAACAGGCCCATTGACATCCTGGAAATGCTTAGTAAAGCCAAGGATGAATATGAAAGAGTAAGGAAATGTTTTGGTTTGTGTTTTTCCTTCTTCTCTCCTCTTGTTTTTTTCCAGACCTTATGAACAAATAAAACCAGCACTTGTAGTTCTGAGTAAGGAGCTTAGGACATCATATGGAGTCTATTGAAATAGCATGCCCTGTGATTTCTGAGAGAAATGATGGAGAATATGGTAAATTGTCCTGTGCGATACACTCTAACCGAAGACTGCGAAGTAGTGCACTTAATCCGTAATTTAATGGGCCTGTATATTCTTATGTTTGAATTGCTACCTTCTGGGGGAAAAAATACAATTTTAAAAACGGATACCTGAAGATGCAGACACAACAAAATATTTTTCTAAAATAGGTGCATGGGCTGCTTAATCTCAGTACTCATCTACCGTCTTGTTTTGTGAGATCATTGTCAAAGGAAACGTGAACAAATAGGTACATATGTAACACTGAACATGTCTGGTTTTGTGATACTGAAGTTCCATTATTGTAAATATTCCTAGTGGCTGACACTTTGGTTTTTCAGTTTTTTTCCTCTGTACTGAAAGTCACTGGAGGAGGTCTGCTATGATTCATGCCATAATCAAGAGCACCCATTGAGCTGCACAATAAAAGGGTTTGACATGTTGAATAATATGACAGAAGCCCAGAAACTTTGTGAACTATCCTGTGTCTGTGATACAAGCGCAGATGTATAATGACTTAGAGAGAAGGGGTAATGTGGGGAAAAACTCATGTTTTAAAACAGTGTGAGATTTGCACGTTGCATGAATTCGTAAGTTTTATTTCTGTAATTATTGCCTTAGTGGGCAACTCCTTGCCTACTTTTTCATTGTTTTTCATTTTTAAGAAAGCCTATCTGGAAACATCAGTTGTGTTTTGTTTAAAGAGCAGGCATTCTCTGCCATTGTTTCGTAGCCTTGTTTTTGGACTGATGTCTTGTTCCCTCCTTCCAATACGCCCTGCTGGGAAACAGTCTCTGATTTCAGGCAAGATAGGTTAAATACTGATTGTGTGATCCAACTTGAAATGTAGCTTGACAGACCCATTTTACAACAACTACTGCTATAAGAAATTTTTGTCTCTGAAAATAGCAAATAAAAGTTGTACCAAACAGCATCTGTCTCTTAGTCTCAAAGGAAGTCTTGTGGTAGAGATTTAGTTGTTCCGTGTATTTGTAGACTCTAGGAAGCCTATTTTCAATAGCTGTAGACTAAGTATAACAAGACTGTTCCCCTATCCTTCTGTTCCCTGGTTTATTACTTCTGTCCTATCTACTGTGCATCTATCCTTTTAATAAATTACTTCAGAAGAGAGAGTCTTTTGCCAGTGCTAAAATCACAAGTTTACATAATGAAGGAGAAAATTAGTTCTCTTAGGAAAGAATTACTTTATATAGTCCTGAGGAGCAAACTTATACATGCAGGATGAATATAAGGGTAATATGTGGGAGATCCAAAAAAGGAAACAAAGATTCTGAACAGGCCTCTCCCCAAGTATAATAATACAAGAATGTGCAATAGTAAAATAACGCACGAGTACAATGTTGCAGAGCTGTACTGATGGGAGAAGAGTTATCGCGTCAGTAGAGTGCTTGATTCCTTCCAGAAGTTGTTTGTGCAGTAGGTCACAGCAGAGTTCCTTTGAGTACTTGGCATTTGAGTCGTTGTAGGATTCTAGATTGTTCCAGTACAATGTGGGATGAGGAAAAAAGAATGAACACGTAGATTAAGCCTTGTATGAGGCACTTAACTTGTCACTTTCTGACACTGATTGAGAGCAGGTGAATGTGACAAACCATACAATATATTTGACCCAGGCTAGGTACTAGTTTCTGAAAATCAGTAATGTGGGTTTTGAATTCTTTAAATACAGATTGGAAAAATAAAAAAGCTTCTGCCTCTCTGAGCATCAGTGCTGTTTTGGGAGAAGGTGTCTTTGATGAAGACCAGCATTGTGGAAGTAGCAGCTTTTGTCAGGGCACAGAAGGAAGCATCAAAACCTGAATGACTCATCTTTCAATGTTTTATCAATTGAGACAGATCTGAAGAAATTGAAGGCTTTTTGAGAAGGAGGGGAAAACAAAACAAAAACACACACACCGACAGGAGCTCACTGTTTTCGTAGTGCTCTCTTAGGGTGTGATGAAGCCTTTCTCCCTCATTGTCCTTACGGTATTGGATAATACACGTTTCCAACAGGTGGCTCTCAAAAATGATTCAAAAAGGATATTCCAGCTTCTCCTCTCCTAATTTTCAGATCTTTTTCATGTGAAAGTACTGAAAAGCTTTTGCTAGAAAGAAAGTTCCTAAGCATCATGGATGAAGCTCTGTAGACAAGCAAAATACTGATAAACAGGCAATGGTATGTGGATTTTGTGGTGGACAGTTGATGTCTGTGGTGCCTGTAGCACAATAGGGAAATACACAGAGCACGGACTACAGTAGAGCTACTATATCATTGGATTTTTTTTTGTCATGGTCTTGATTTGTTATTGTGTTTGTGTTTGTTTTTCTTGTTGCTTTTAGAACACTAGTGAAACTAGAATAATTATTTAATTTCCATTTTGTGTGTGTATGTGAACTGAATCTATTGAACATAATCCCATAGCCTACTATGATTGTAGTTGTGTAGAAGGTGCCAGATAAACAGAATTGAGCAATATCGGTCACATTTCAAGCAAACTTCTTTGGAGCATGTTCTGTTGATCACCTCAGCTTTAGCAACGAACCCCTGTTAATTCTGGAACTCCTTGTAGCCAAGGTATGTCAATGTTAACATAATTAGGTAGCCAACTTGTTTTGAAGATGGCTTCTTGAGAGATGTTTCCCATCTTATATTTTTTTATATATATATTATTTTATGGTACTTGGTAATTATGGATGAATTTGTATTTCGGAGCAGAAAGTACTTATCTGCCTGGTACATTCCAGATGGATCATAGAGTAATCCTTGTGTGCAGCCCACATGAGATTGGCAGAGTGTCAGCATGAGAAGGGGGCAGAGAGTGAAAAAGAGATTTATGAAGGTCTGAGTGATTTAATCTAGGATTCCAGATCAGCTTAATCCTTCAAGTACTCACTGCATCAAGTCCATATGTGAAAATGAATGAATTCTGAGTTGTGTTTTTTTTATTACTATTAAGTGAATGGATGCTTTTTATAGTGTGGTGTTTTGTGTATGTGTTTCAGTATAAGCATAGAAACATACTGCTGCTCATTCTCTAGTGAAAACTGTGCTTTGTCTGATTTTTGTAACCACAAAGCATCCAGCATTTCAGGCACAAAGAGTTTTGACCTTCAAGTTAGTGGTTAGAAGTTGGAAAGACAGAGGAAATTGCTCTTGCCTCTGTCCCTAAATCACAATATATAGTCTTGATTTTATATTTGCTGCTTTCAATTTGAAATTGAAAACAAAAGAACAATAAAGCTCAGGTTGTTTTTTAACTTGTTGCTAAAAAGTTTAACCCATATTTTGCTGCTGTGGACAAGTGACCAGAGTGATCGTCATGTGTTGTGCCAATGTGCAGCTGTATCATGCTTAAGGTGTGGTTTACCTACTGGAAGCTAGATGATTCTACAGTTTGATTTTTTTCACTGGTGATTTAAACTGTAATACAATTTCTATTTTCGTTTATATTTATTAAAAATGAAAGTCAACTCGATCTGTAAACATCGTCCGTTATAATGCAGCTCTCTTGTCCGTTTTCTGCCTCATTTGCAGAAAACCAAGTAAACACCTTTTGAAAATACATGTACATGGTTAATTAAATCTGGTGGAAATAAGTCAGTGACACGGTCTCTCGTCAGTCACTTAGAATGATTTCTGACAGGATTTTTTTTCCTAAGTTGTTTCTAGTTGGGGTTCTTGATTTAATGAAGTATACCAAACTTCCTCACTAGCAGCTAACGCAGATAAAGGATGTGAAAAGCCTGCCTTTTTTTAAAGTTTTTATTTTATTTTCGTTCTCAGTGAAAAAAGTATGAAGGCAGTTGTTGTCTTTTTTCTTTTTTAAATAGTAAAAGCTTCATGAGTACACACCAAATGGTGGATGTCTTGGTATGATTTTTATTTCCTAAAATCTGTGAATTCCACAGTGTCTTAGAAAAATCAGTACTGTATACATTGTTGGTATTTCAGTCAAAATGCTGTGTAAACAGGATTGTAGTAGTGGATAAATGTAGGCTTAAAACTTGTGTATTTGTGTTAATTTTATTATCCTTTTTTTTTCAGAACCAGATCAGTGACTTAAGTATTGTATCAAGTTCTGGAATGCAACAAAATGCAAATCCTCCAAAGCCAGAAAGCACAGAGCCTTCAGAACAAAAAACTTCATTACAAGTGCAAGAGCAGGTATGTTTCATCCAAACCTAAATAAGGTGCTATTTATTTTTTTTCCATTTAGTACTTTGTTTTGGTACCAAAATATTTTTTTTTCTTAGAATGCCTGCAGTGTTGTCTGCTGAATGTATTACCACTTTGAATAAACTAATGGGTTTGAAGACTTTTAGGATCGTAAATTCTGTCTTTTGACTTGGCATTTAAAAATATGAGGCTATGTCCACACTACTGTGAATATCCAAGTATATTTAAATGAGCTAACTTGAATTCTGAAAGAAGTTGCTCCGTGGTAATGTGCAGGATTGACTTCCAGAGCCAGAAAGGAAGAAAAAATTCTCTGCCACATTATTGGACTGAATATGGCATCAGTTAGCTGTATACTGTGTTGCAGTCTTTCACACATGAACACAAGTCCTGTTTTCTTATGTTTAAGACATTTACTTAAGGTTTATCTGTGCTGCCTTCAAAGAATAGCTGCAGTCTTGGTGACTTAAATCCACAACAATGAGTTGCTAGACAAGCCATGGAAAGCGCTTCAGTCACGGCAGCACCAAGTTCTCTTTGGCATAACTGAAAATGCATTTACCTATCTTCTCTCACGCTCCTGTAGCTTGCATTGAACCTCTCCTTGTATGCTTGTTTGGTAATAATATCAGTCAGCTTGGCTGATTCCTTCATACTTAGATTGTGAAAAAGTGTATGTGGTTTGTGTTGATTTGCTTGAGGGTTTTTTTGTTTTGTTGGGGGTAGGGGAAGAGTGTTGTTTGGGGATGGGTTTTTTTTTTTTCCTATATATTCCTTCCTCTGCAGGAAGGGAAATAGTGTAAAAAATGTTCAGTGTTGGGGTGGGATGTTTCTCAAATTGTGGTAATACTAGTGTTGAGATCTGTTTCAGGTAAGAGATAAACCAGGATGAATCAGCATGTATCCAAATATGTACAAATTCTACAGCTTGGTGTTACTCCTGTAATTAAAGTTTAAACCTCAGTAAAAATGCTGGTGAAAATAACTTCTGCTTCCTGTATATGTTGTCTTTGAACCAGGGGAAACTTGTTACAAAATAATTAGTATCATCACTGGAGTGGCTGGAGTAGGCAGCAATAGTTCAGTATTTGGCTCCATTTTCTAGTAAGCGTTTCTGCACAAGGAAGCTGTACCTTCATACAAGACCTTTTAGAATTAAATTTTAAAAATGAATAAATTCTGCAATAGCTAAATTCCCTGTAACCCCCGAGTCCCTTTGCCCTGCCTGCAGTGCCACCCGCTGGGCACGCAAAGGGAGGGCAGTTGTGTTCTCCTCGAAAATCCCCACCAAGGCAGGCTGCAGGTCTGCCTCCCTCCTTGCCGGAGTTCCCTGCTCTGTCTCCCGTGCAATAAACCACCGTGTCTGAAAAACGCAGTGCCCTGTGAAAAGGCTACAGCCTCGCGCTTAGTGCTTTGTGTACAAGGACTTGCTTTGTTGTGGTATTAGTAGATAATTTCCAGTACAGGTTAGGGCTACGGTATGGGCAGCAGGAACCTCTTTGAGGGGATGGGGTAGTAACAGTTAATTGAAATGAGGGGTGGGAGTTTGCTGGGATTCTTGGCTGTCACAACCACTCTACCCCCTCAGCAGCACCTCTGCTCGTGGGTCAGTGCAGGTGATAGACTGAGCCCTGGCAGCCAGCTCTGCTCTTTGCATGCCTGGTCTTGAGACCTGGCAGCAGCGTTGCCTGAGGCTTTGTTTTAAGAGAAGATATTTTCTTTGGGTCATCACTGTGGGCTGTACACAGTCAGCTCGAGTGCCTCGCCTGACAGCACGTGGAATTGCAGAACAGAAATCAAATTAGTGGTAAAGGAAAAATTGGAAAGACAAGATTCTAACAAATTATTCTGAAGAAATTAAAGGGAAACAGTCAATTTATAGAACAGGTGAAATGGCATATTTTAAGTTCTGTTTAGCTATTTAAAATAATAGCTGCAAAAATATTGGAAAAAATTAATTGGGTAATGGAAGTGATAATAATTCTGTAAAGCTAGTTAACTGGGTTCAAATGTATCACAAATGTGCTTGTTCTTAATCACATTTTCAATAACATGGACAACCGGAAGACTACTGGAAAAATTCCATTTCAAAAATGCATTTTTTAATCTGATTGAATCAGGTGACCAATTAAATTAAAAAATAGTGTACATATAAGTATGGTAAAATTCCTAAACCCTCCTCCAAAATGTCACACTTGTATGTTGATCGACTAACTCCATTGCATGCTAAAGATATCACAGATTTGGGAATAAAAATAAATGTCTTTGTGATACTCTGAAGTTCAAGTTTTTTATCTTGGCAGTTCAAAATGAGATTCAGTTGCAGCATGAAATACTTTTGTGCCAATGATGGGAAAAACTGAACCAAAACACTGAAATTAAACCTTATAGTGCCAGCTCTGACTGACAATTCATGTTTCAATATATCTGAAATGATTTCTGGAGAAACCCTCTGAGCAGCACTCTGTTCCTATCAAGTAAAGTGATCATGTTGCCTTTGTGCAGCCCCTGCTGATAAGGGTCTTTTTGACAACATGCTCAAAATATACCTCAGTCAGAGATGGGACAGGCAAAAGATGTTTTATACTTCAGGCTGTAAATTAAATTTGTGTTTGAGGCTCTGACCCCGTAAGGGGCTAGTCTGACTTGGATCCAGGCATGGTAGAGATTGCTGTTTATTACTTGAATATTGTAATGTATTAATTAAAGGAAAGCTAGTCAATTTTTCATACTGAAGTGAAAAGCTGAGTTTGATATGAGATGGAATAGTGATTTTTCTCTTAACAGAATCTTTACAGGTCTCCAGAACAGTAAGATCAGTGGAGAAAACTAAGAACAACTTTCTAGGAAGAATTCCTAACATAGTTAATAAGGTTTATAAACTATAGAATGTCTCAGCTGCGAAATGAAAGTGTGCCTAAGATAGCTAAAAATGAGTAGCAACAATGGTGGCAGAGATCAGTGACCTGGGCAGAAGTCAGTATGATTTCAAGCTCAGGGTGGTTGGTTAGGTTACTTGTGTGCCGCCTGTACTGCGTTATCTGTGCTATTAAATTGGAGCGAGCGTAGCAATGTCATGGTACAGTAGTTGTCGCTGTAAAATAGCATCTTTGTTTGGACATACCATCGGAATACACTGGAATTGTGCTGCAGGCCATTCAGTCTTCTGAACAGAATGTTGGATTTTAGTCCAGCTGTTTTACATAACTTCTGGTCCTGTGCAACCTGGGGGGGCGAAAACCAAACAGGCAAATGTCGAGATTAAGCATTTTAATAGCTGTTTCATTTCTCTTTAGTCAAACACATTTTCAAACGTTTTCAGCAAAATATTAAGAAAATTATATTCTTAAAATCAGATTCTTCTAGTGCTGTAGACTAGATACATATTTTTGAGAGAGACTAAAGGATGGGTAGATGTAACCATGTGCGTATAGGCATACTTTGCAAAGAGTTATATTCACATGTTTAGGTTTATACAGATTCTTTTACCTATTGTAACATCTATTGCATTGTTGAGGAAAAGCGTGAGAAGAACTGTCTAGGCATGTATTGCTAGATCAGCTGTGTACCTTCAGGTTCCTTTCCCATCTGTTAGGCCATATAAATTATTTACAACTCTATAAATTCTATGTGGATTTTGTTCAACATGTGTGTTGCTATTTTTCCACCCCCCTGAAGTGCCTCATGTAGCTAACTAAGGCTGGTGGGTGATGGCAGACGCCATCTTAATGACAGAAATCGTAGCATCCCCCTTCTTTACTGCTAGCACACAGTCTGTCCGTAGAAGACTGTACAGAAAAAGCTTACATAGACAGGATGTTCTTTGTAAATGAAATTGATTTCAAAATCCCTGTAAATAGGGCACACTTGATATCCAAACTGTATTTTAAATGCATTTGACCTAATTGTCTTTCATAGTTTTCTTGAAATTGTAGTAGACCGTGTGAGATGTACAGTGGTATGTATGTTTCTGAACTGAAAATTTCCTTTTTCCTTCTTTCCAGCCATTTCAGTCAAGGCAGAAGCATCTGACTTTGGAGGAACTGTTTGGAACCTCTGTACCAAAGGAACAGCCTGCAGCTCCATATTCCAATTCAGAGAGAATGGAAAAGTTGCAGACTGACACCTCTGTCAGAGAACAGCACAGTTTGCTCTTGCCTTTTTCCTTTGACCAGTCAACAGTAATACAACAATCACTAGGGAAATCAGAAAGTCCAAGCATTAAAACTAGTGCCAATCCTTTTTGGAATGTTTAACACCTATGCTCATACCTCCAGCTTCAGTCCCCCAGCCTGATGTACAAAACGCTTCAAGCTATTCAGTTCGTTTAAGCCCTATTCATAATTCAGCCTCGACAATGGAAGCTGCCCCTGCTCAGATCCTTCCTGGCCTGAAACAAAGCAACAGTATAATGCAAGTTATGCAGCAAGCGGCCAAGCAGATATCCCCACTAGTGAATCAGCCGCTGTCTGAAGTCAACCACGCTCCACAAAATCTAATGGCTGGCCAAAGCCAGCTCATAGCACCCTTGACAGCAGCGAATACAGGAACTGTCTCAAATACATCCCATGCAAGCGTTGATCTTCTCCAGAAGCTCAGGTTGACCCCACAGCATGACCAAATGCAACAGCAGTCTCTAGCTAAGACTCCCTTAACGCCAAACATCTCTGCCTCGGTTGGCCAACTTGCAACGCCACAAAGCTTCAAAGAGTCTCACAGTAAGCCATCAACCTTGAGCAGCAAGATAATCTCTCCCCTTCAGGTATTCTGTGGGTTTTGATCTTGTGCTTGTTACCATTTCATAAAGCTAATTTTTATTTTGTTGTTAAGGACTATCAGTTCCCTGAGTGTTTTTCATTGCAGTTCAAGTAAGCCAAGTACTGTCTGTTGCAAAGGGTTTTTTCCTGTTCTGTATTGCCAAGAGGTATTCCAAATGGCTCTAACAACCCTTTTGAAGAATGCCACAGGAATTTACTAAAGTACCTTATCTACATGCCTTTTATTGTGTTTTCTAATATTTTTAAATACTTGACTTATTATATTATAGTCTTGAAATCTGACTAAAGACATATCTGAATGCTGTTTGTAAAGGCATAAAATACTTCTCAAATTCTAGCAGAAAGCAGCATTTAATTTTTGTGGAGGTGATTAGATGAAATGCCTAGCAAAAAATACTGAGTTTAACCTTCCTGGCAATTTACCAAACTGATTGCAGGGTACTGAATTCTTCATTTTGTAGCATTTATTTTGTTCCCAGTTTTGGTGTTTTATTGTTTAGATTTTTTTTTTAACTGTAATAGTCTTTCTTCATAAGTGTTTGTTACAGGTGTACAAGTTTGCTGTAATACTGAAAGCATAAAACATAAATCTTCTTTTTCCAACTTCCGATTGATTATATCACTTTTAAAAAATGGATCGAATTGCATTTAAAATCTGTTGAAATTTGCATTTTTGTGCTTCCACATAAACAGAGAACCACAACTAGAAATAGAGCTGTGGATGCTAACTTATAAATTATGCTTTCTTTTTAACTTAGACTGTACAACAAAACAGGGAATCAGAAGTATTTCCACAGCCGAAGACTTTGTCTAAAGCAAGCCAAGTAAGTGAATGAATACTTCTGCTAATTGTTGGTTGTTTTTTTTAAAAAAAAAAGGGGAGGAGGGTTTAAAACTCTAGTAGGCAGTTGGTATCTCAAGCAGTCCTTGCCCACTGACCATATTTAAAGTGCTGTTATGAAGCAGAAGCTGTACCGAAGCAATGGGGACTTTCTGTAGACTGCTATGAGCAAGTCCACTTTTTTGTTGCACAGTGCCTCTTATTGTTGGTGATAATGCAGAAACAAGAATACATTTTTGGATCTGCAATCTTGCATTGAGTTTGCACTATTTGAACTGGTTTTTTATCTTATAAGCAAGCAGTACTAGTGCTGTATTATTGCAGTAGGGTCTATTAGCCTCAGCCCAACCTGAGATACCTTGTATTTTATGAAAAAAAAAAAAAAAAATCAAGTGAAAAAAAATGAAGCTAGAGGAAGAGAAGAATAACAAGCATTTGTTACTACAAAACTTTCTAGTAGAAAGTTTTAGTGATCTATGTACAGATTTAACATTGCTAGAGCTGTCTTTGAATAACAGTTCAGAATAATGCCAATATAAAATTTCAGGTTGAAGTTAAAAAAATAACTGATAATAGTAAAATCTTCAAGGATTGTTTTTAATTACCTTTTTGTTATGTATTCTTTTCAAGATACCATCTGTAATTTAATTCTACTTTTCCTCTACTCGCTCCTCCTTTTAAAAAATCTGTTAAATTGCCTCCTTCTTGTCCAACTCAAACTAGGTAAAAGCAGTTTTAGCAGCATGCGCGGATCTGATTGTGCAGGCAGTAAGAGCTGTACAGTCTGTTCATGACACAGTTAGTAAATAATTACCTAAATAAAAGCATTTTACAGGAATTTTGGAATTTTAAGAAATGTGTGCGTGTGGTGAGGTAAACTGTGTGTGTTGGTTTAAACATGTCTTCAGCTGCAATCCCCACTGTAAGTCTTCACAGTTTTGACTATAACACAATCAATTGGCAAGCTCTACGGTCATTGATGTTATATACGCGTTAACTTTAGATGGCTTTGCAGATTTTTTCTTCTGAAGATTTTTGATTATCCCAGGGAAACCCTTTCTGCTGATGTCAAACATCTTTACCTATCACAATTAGTCTTGCTTTGTTTTGAGTGAGATTGGCTTCTTTTTTTCTCCCCCCCCTCCCCCTGCCTTGGTTATTCTGGAAGCCTGAGCAAGACGTAGATCATCATACTGAATAATAATTGCTGTTATAAGGAGATGTCACAGTTGCTCAAAGCTGATGTTTATTCACGTCCACTCTATGCAAATATAATATTCCTATACATTTGCAGTTTATATTTAAAAGGAAAAATGGTAAAGGCAGTGTGTGGATTTCTGTAGTGAAACGGACACAGACCTGTAGAAGAACTAAGTGGGAATGTGGTCCTCAAAAATATTTTGAGGACCCTCTCCCCCAAGGGAAAATGTACTTAGAGAATATTTCAATGTGTTCCAGTGCTTTAATTATAATTCATCATCATTTTAAATATCTTTGAGATACTCCGCTTCAAATTGTAAGTGTATTTATTGGTGACCATAGAAGCAAGAGGGTGGGAAGCAGAACTAGCATTTCTGTAAACTCCTAAGGAAAATAATAATTTTCAAAACAACTACAGGTTCCTTTGATTACCTAGATGAAAAGCTCATCTTTTATTCTGTGTTATGTTTAAAAAATTCTGGAAGGTAGCAACTACACGAGGAGGAAGGAGTCTGCGTACAAGAATATTGAAGACTTGTGCCTCCTTCAGCTTTTAAAATGAGAATTACTGTTGATATTAATCTTCGTAGGTAGATATGTCTTCATTAAGAGCAGCTATTCTGTAATATCTGACTGAATAATAGTGGCTACGTTTATTTTGTTTTTTGCACTTGTCTCTTCAGCCTTTGTAACAGCATTTATTCTTACCAGACACGGTGCTTATTAATGTTCTGTTCTTTTACAGGTTGCACCTCCACAGTTTGTTACAGCCACAACTACAGTAGCGCCTTCAATCCTCCTGTCTCCTAGTGTTTTTCAGCAATCATCTACAAAAGCTACAGAAGTGGAGAGCAAACCCAATTCTTCTTCGCCTTTAACACTTGGAACAACAGAAATTCAGCCTATACCTCCTACTGTTCTCAGTAGGTCTCAGCTTCAAGAAGCACTGATACATCTAATAAAGGTCCTGTCTTTACAGAGCTCAATTTCTGAGGGAGGGGATTCCAAGTACAGTATCCAGTACTGAGAAGTTGTGTACCCCTGTAACTCCTTTTGCCCTGAAAAGTCGTTCCTTTCTGCTGGAGGGAGTAGATACTCCACGCTGCACACATAGTATGGCACAACTTCCTCCTTTTGGTTGCGAGATGAAGGACTTAGAAGGACAGAGCTGTACGTCAGATGTGTCCTTTCACATCCATGTGGACTAGTGAGGGAGAAGTTGCACTAGTAGAAGCCCTAGTATGGGGATGGGGGGGTTGGTTTTGTTGTCTTTGTAAGTGTTCCTGCTTTCCCAAGGAAAGCTTTCCTGTTTCCAGTTCCCTAGAATTGGTCCTGATCTTTAACTGAAGTATGCATCTTTGAAATGGGAATGGCAGGGTTCTAGTTCTGCTATTTCTAGGGACTAAACCGCTCAACTGAATTAAATATGTGATGTTGGGAGTAGCTATGCATTGAGATGGTTTTGGCCTCTAATGTCATGATGAAGTTGCCGTGGATGACAAACCTTCATTAACTCAGGATTCTCTTGCCCCCTCCGCGCCGATGTTAGTAGACCTTACACCCAAAATGCAAGTCTAAAAATAACAAGCAATATCTTCCCAACAAAGGGCTACTACCAGATACCATCATTAGCTAGGCTGCCTGATTTATCTGTGTTGTTCCTTTTTGGATAAACTTTTTGTGTATTGATGTTTATGTTTTTTTCCTCTTTAAAGACTTAAACTAGCTTACTTGTAAGTCTTGCAACTAAGCTTAACTGCCAGAAGTCTTTTTCTCATTAGGGACATAGTGCACAGATTCTCACCCAGTAGTCTGGAAAACATCATTGTGGTGACTTTAAGGAGCTGATTGAAATATCTGTCTCCAGTCTTCTCTTAGTCATAGAATGGTTCGGGTTGGAAGGGACCTCAAAGGTCATCTAGTTGCAACCCTCCTGCCATGGGCAAGGACACCCTCCACTACACCAGGTTGCTCAACACCCCATCCAACCTGGTCTTGAACACTTACAGGGATGGGGCATCCACAACTTCTCTGGGCAACCTGTTCCAGTGCCTCACCACCTTCAGATTGAAAAATTTCTTCCTTAGATCTAATCTAAATCTACCCTCTTTCAGGTTAATATAGAGAAATAGCTGAATGAAGACCAAAAGGGTATAGGCATACCCTGGAGCATGGGAGTACTTGCACAGCACTCCCAAGCAGGATACCAGATTTGCTGTGCAGATCTTGTAAAAGGAATATTGCATTTTCAAGCTAGATTTGAGATTAGATGCTGGTTTTGTAAACTTGTCATTTGAAGGAATCATACTCAAGAAATACCTCTAAATGTTGTTGAAAGATTAAGCTAATTCACTTCCCAGTCATGCTTTGACATGAGAATTCTTGTGTAACACACGGCAATCCCTTTCAGGCTGGTCTGACAGAAATGACATTACTTCTGACACTCAGGTGGACTTTATTTGGGAGCCTGTGCACAGGATGGAATTTTCTGTGTCTGAGACTGAGGTTTGGACTCCAGAGGGAAGTGGAATTATGTAGCCAAGGCTAACCTAGTGACTCCCGTTGCATTTGTTTGAGCATCCAGTGTGCTTGGTGATCTCTTTAGCTGTCTTATCAGCTGCATGGTTCAAAGCCTGTATGTTGTCCAAAAAGGATTGCCTTTTGTACAAGTATGCAGCTAGGTGCCTTCTCTTGACTCTCAGATAGCCCTAGAAGGAATCCTTATGCACAACTTCACTGGCACTAAATTAAGCTTTTTTTGCATCTTTTTACTCATGTTTCTAATGTGTTTGTTTTTTTTTCCCTGCAGAATGATTCCCGTTTTCTCAGCACTATTCATGAAGTCTACTTGCAAGTCCTAAACAAGAACACAGACAACGTTAAGCTATAACTGAAGCTAAATCTACGTAAAATATATACATTTTAGAAACAATTATGCCTCATCTATAAAACTAATATTTTTGTAAAAGAATATTTAGTTTTCAATGTCTTGAATTTGAACCTGTTAGGAAAGACTATTCCTTAAATACTTACGAAAGTAATGTTCTCAGAAGTGATCTAAGTTTTCACTGTGATCATCACCAGCAAACCTTTGTTTTTACTGGGGAGGGGACTTAAGTTGCATTTGAGCTCTCATTAGCATTAAGTGAACGTGCAAATGTTTGCTCTGGCTTTCATTCCTAGCTGTCTTCACTGTTCAGGGATTACAGACTCAATACTATTTAAACCAGCAAATACATAGTACAGTACACTACACCACACCAGGACAAAATTCAGTTGTGGGAACCTAGTTCCAGTTTGAAGGACTGAGCAAAAGGAGACCAAAATGCCTTGTGATTGAGTTGGCAGGTGTGGGAAAGGAACAGATCTGCAAAGCCAGGCCTTTGGAGCTAAATCTTTAACAAAAGGATTAAAAGATGTGATTTGCACAAGACATCGACAGTCTCTAGCTAATGCACATAAATTCATCTTTTAAATAGTCCATTAATCTTATTGCTTCTGCGGTCGCTGACGTTAGACAGTTATCCAAGTGAGTAAGGCCATTTTCTCCTAAAAGGCAAAGTTTGAAATATGCAAAATCCTCAGTGATTGTATCTCTCTTTTTTTTTTTTTAAGGAACAGAGCAGTTCTGTTGTGTGTTGAAGTTCTCTTGTTTTAAATTTATAGTTAGGAGACTACCACTGGAAGACCCTCTTCCTGTCAGCAGTGTTTGATGTAATTTAAAGACTTTAGTTCCCTTTTAGCTTAAGGATGGACCATGTCATAGTTGTCTTTCATTCCTCAGTTGTGTTGGAACTGCAGTGCTGAAAACTATGCAGATGGGGAACAAATGCATGCTTTTCTTCTGTTACTCTCTCCCCAGATTGTTAGTTCACACTTCATAGTCTGGAGTTTATCTAATTAAAATGCTATTGCTTCTCATATGTGATTTAGTAATTCACTAAGGTAAGAATTTAACTGGATGCTTTCCCGTTTTAAATCAGAAAATTTCTAATTGTAGTTTCTTATGCTGCTGTGTTGGTTTACCCATGGTTTGTATTTGTTTCTTAAAGGCATGCAAAGGAAATCAATAAGACTTCAGGTCCCAACTTTTTCCAGCAATAGTAGTTTTAAAGGATGCTTTTCCAGTAGAGAAGTTTTGGTTTATTGAGGAAAAAGATAATCTGTAGTGAGTTATGATGCACTGCTTTTTTCTTTTCCCTTAAGCACTATTGAAATATGAAGAAAAAAAATTGTTTGGCTTCTTAAAACATATATGTATGTGTATATATCCTAAGGATTAGTTAATGTTGACGTAGTCAAAGTGCATGGTCATTATTTCATTGGAAACTAGTAATTGAGCTTTAATTGTGACTTGTTCACAAATCGGTATGTTTTAGATACAACAAATATTTACGTTTTTATTGATCTATTTTTTGGGATTTTTTTCATAGCTTTGTAGTGGAAAATATATTTTGTTTAGCACTACCTGCCTTCTGTAAAGCTCTTCTCAGCCTTTGAGTTCAGTGTTTCTGGTTAAAATATATAGTATTTTGTTAGAAAAATGTGCAAGATTCAGGGAAAGATGCTAATGCTGTGCACATTCATCAAGAAATACATTGGCTTTAATGGTAGCATTTGAATTCAGCAATATAAACTCAGCCTTGTTTCGGAAGATAGGAGCTTCCTACGTAAATTCCAGAGTTATAATGCTGTGTGTGTGCATAAACAATGAGACTTAAATTAGATCTAAGGTCTAAACTAATTTGTTTTGTTGGGTTTTTTAGAAAAACTTTCACTAAAAGGAACAAACCAATGAGCAGTTCCTCTGAACAGAACTGGATAGCCTAAACCAAATAGTTGCTCTTTATCAGGATTTAGCAAAGATGAAGTCCATAACTTCTCACTTCTTATGGACAGCTTCCAGTTTCTTCAAAGGAAGATTTGATAGAAGTTTCTAAGAGTAGAAATATTGGAAGCTGATAATGTGTATTTTTACTGTTTGCTAAATACAGTCATATCCAAAGATCTATAGAAACGGCAGGAAGGAACTGTATTTCGAGTTCTTAAGTCGTACAGTTGACAGAAGTAATACTGTTTAGAGTAGCAACGCTGATACGAGAGTTTGACTCTACTTTGAATATCTTTAACTTGTTTCCAGCTGTCCAGGAACCCCACAAGCAGCTGGCAGATCCTTACTTTCCTTTGGTTTTGCAGTGTACTAGTAGCAATACAGTCTTGGTTTACTCTCCCCCCTGCCCCCCCACCTCCTTTCAAAATGAATTGGAAGAGAAACGGAGTTGAAATCATAGTTACTAGGCAGGTACTTTGGCAACAAACAAACCTGTTTATCTGGAATACCTGCACGTGTGTGTTCTGACCTCTCTACATGTAGCCAACAGACACTGGAACCAACCTGAGTGTCATCCAGTGCACCGCAGAGTTACAGACTGCGGTTTATGACAAGTGCCAGCGTAGGGGGTTTAGCAGATTAAACCTCTTCAGTGAAAAGCTGCATTGTAAAACACAAGCTCCAATACAGTGTAAAAATGTTTGGGGTTTTTTTTACATGTGGTCTGTGTTAGTTAACAACTTTTTTTCCTGATTAACTTTTTGTGTAAATTTAAAATTACCAGCTTGTCAAAAGTGCTTGATTCATGTTAGCCACATGTAGGGATGACTAGTGTGTGGCGAGTTACCATGGGTCATCACAGAAAATTATTGTGACTGTTTTCAAGTGATTTAAAAAAAACAAAAACAGAAAAAAAAAAACCCACAAAAAAACAAAATCAACAAACCTACTACTGGCTTCATGGGATTTTTATCTATTCGTTCTGAGAATTAAAAGATTACTAGTTTAGACTTTACTTCTCAAATTAATTGTATTATCTAAGCATGTGTTTTGTGGCTAGCATTAAGTCACTTTAAAAAAAAAAAAAGGACAAACACCAAACTCAAACCTAATCAAAGACAGTTTTAAAACCTACAGCTGCTGAATTGTTCAGGAAAATCAAAATTCTGAGTTTTGTAGTTAGACTTTATCTGCTGTTATTTAATAATGCAAAGTTTATATGAAAGGTGCCTAACAGCTATTAACTTGGAAGCAGTATATCTTTCCAAATTAAACAAGATTTGCAGAATGATTGAATAAAGCTTAAAAAAAAGTGATTCATCTTGATTTCATATAAAATATTTAATTCTGTGTATAATTACTCAATATAATATTTAAACGCTGCTGGATGTGTCTCATTTTTGCTTGCATTTCTAATTGCTTCATTTTGGTATGTTTCTGAAACCCATTATGCCATCTGTACTCACTGATGTAATTTCTGAAATATTTTTGAAATCAAACTTTAATTTGGAACTTCTTGTTTTTAAAAGTATTCTAAACAAATCAGCCACCTTTTTGCCAGGTACTTGGGTTGTTTTGTACAGCATATCTTAACAGGAGGAATGTGTGCAATATGTATCACCTCAGTTTTGTCTGGCAATGTTATGAAAATGTTAAGATGCAATATCTTCCTTTCACTTCAAGTTGGAAAAAATTGCAGTATCTCTTATTTGGTGGTGTATTTATTTTTATCCATTCAGTGTATGGGCATATGGTTAGTTAGGTTTTTTACGTACATTATGTGCTTTTAGTAAATTCTGAGTTTTATCACTTCTGTGGATGCACTGGTTGTACCCATTTGCATGTTCTTTCAGTATGAAGACCATGGGGAAGGGGGGCTTCAGGAAAGATTTCTGGAAACTGGGAATAAGAACAATTGTAAGTCAATAAATGTAGATACTGCATCATTAACGTTTTTGGTATAGTATGAATTTTATAGCACCTATGTATGTTTGCAGTTGTTAAGTTATTGCATAAATGTTTAAGAATGAGCATTTTTTCATCCAGAATTTTGTATGTTTGCAAATATATTTTTGTAATAAAACTTCAAAACAAACGTTTCAGCACCTCCTAAAAATCTTCCCAATCTTTTCTTTTATTTCTAGAGCTCTGGTAGCCTGCTAGAACAGTAAGTGCAGTTTTTACTTAGGGTTAATATTTTCCAGAGAAGAAACTCAAACTCCTTACTTCATACTGGGGGCAAAACCAAATTGCATTTATTCACTCAGGAAAATGCAGCATGCCTGCTTGAAGGACAGTTGAGAACAGCATCTGTCACTTGTAACAGCTTCTGGCTATCTGTATTACTGTAAGTACGCTTGTGTTTTCTGTTTGATAAACAGATCAATTTCCTTTCATGTTAAGAAATGCAGCTGCAAGTTCACTGTCTTACAAGTACAGCTGTAACTGGTTTTAGCACCTCATGGCTTTTTTTATAATTTCTGCTCTCATCCATCTAGCATGGCATATGGTACTCAATCCAGAGTTGGTCCCTGATTACAGACTTTGGAAATTGCAGTTGTCCTCTTACTGTATCCGATTGGTATCGTGTAACTGGTTGATCCAAATTTCACAAAGTAAAACAGGAAAGCTGAGGAGGAGGAAAACAATAGCAGAAGTTCTTTCGGAATAGATGTTGAAATTAAACAAAAACTTATGCCAGAGTCCCTCAGTCTTAGCTAGATGCTTATTCCCATTCTAGTTACCTGTAAGAGTGAGATTGCAAGCCATACCAAAGGCCAGGAGATGCCACTGAAGAATGGTGTTTGCTGCTCTAGGAGTTAATATTGAACTGGCTCCTGTGCTGTATACAGAAGCTGGTTTGGTTAATAGCAGACTACCCTACAAAACAAGTGCAGAAGTCATGGATTTACTGTAAGATAAACAGTGTGGAAACAGCTAATGCCTGGAATCTAATTTTCAATTCTGTGTTAGATGTGTTGCCTGTTTGGTCAATATTCAGCAAGTGCTTTTTTTCATTGTTGATGCTGTTAATCTTTTTGTCTTTTCTGGATCCAGGT